TATTTCTGCTTATCTCAATACATGCATACCACTCTCGCAAATGTAGAAAATAATTCAGACAAACTCAAGCTTTTCAAGAAGGCAAAGACCTAATAGGACGTTAATTTTTACCAATCATGAGGTAATTTTTTCCGATGATTTGCTCTCCCAGAAGGAAGAATTTTTTTCCCTCAAAAACAGATGGATGTTTTCGATCGAATCGAACTAGGGATCATTGGGCGAATGAATGAACAAATATCAGCGATATTGAGCACTAAAGTATTCAAAAAAGGTTTCACTAACTTAAAAAGTCTAAAACTTTTATTTTTTAGGAAAAAAAACTTTAAATAGTTTAGATCCGGATAGATTGGGGATATTGGCCATGACAAATTATTTCTATTTTATTTTTTTATCCAAAAGCAAGCTTCCACATAGCATTGAAGATGTTTAATGGTACATTTATAACTTACACTACTTAGATGTTTTAACACATATAATATCACAGATACTAATAATATCAGGATTCAAGGTTCTTCAAATTACATGAAAATTGCGGTTTATTTCATTTAATCCTACGCCTTTAACGAGTGTTTAGATATTTTTTTAATATTGCCTTCCACGGTTTTGACGGTTTCCAATTTCTCTGCTCCATCATCCCACCATTGTCTATCAGCAGAAGCAAATATTTCGAAAAATGTAGCCGGAACAGCTAATGTTAAAGCTGCAAGAATAAATACCCATCTCCATAGCGTAACGTTTGTCTGGGAAGAAACAAAAAACGTATTATGTAAAAATTAGCCTTCTCTCGTTACTTTACTTACAAGATCGGTTACTATGTATTGAACGGACAGAGGAGCAGATAGAGCAGCTAAACAAGACGTTGAATTAGCAAAACCTAATACAATGCCAGAAAATCTAGGAGATATATCAATTATATTGATGGCATGACCAAACATTATGCCTGCAAGAAAGACATTTGTAAGAGTAAACATGAATACGGCCAAAGCGGCATTTGATTCATCCAGGAACCCCAATGTGATAAGTGCAATGGCTGATCCGTAGGTTGCTAAAAATAAATTTATTTTCAAAATTTTTCATTCCAACTATGCTGCATTTTGCTTTTGCTAATCAGGTAAATTTTGCTACTATTTATTCGCTTTACTTACCCAGTCCTTCGAAAAATTTTCGGGTGTGGGTTCTTGAAAGATAATTGCGTTCGATAAGAAAGTCCGATAGGAGACCATAAATATAGGAGAACAAAAAGCTAACTCCTACAGTCATTGCGGTTAAATATCCACTCTGGAATTATTATGGAAAACAACGGTCGATTACGAATGAAAGTTATTATTTAATAAAAAGCAATTGTTACATAGTATTGAAATGAAGTAGTTTAATGTAAAAGTGAATACTTTGGCTATTTGTCCACTTACCGATGATATGTCGTATTTTAAGACATTTTCCAAATAAGTCGGGATTTCGTTTTGAAGAAAGGTCACTCCATAACCAGAACATATTGTGGGAACAGCACAAGCCCAGAAAGGAACAGACGTAAATATTTGCTTCCATGGTGTAGGAATCATCTAAAATAATTTTATTGAACTTGAACAACACAGCTGAATGGGGACTGAATTTGAATAATAATTTTTCATTTCTTTACGTTTTTTAGTTTGACTCTTAATGTGTTTGAGGTATAAATTTGCTAGATTTGAGTCGGCATTTGATTTGAATAGCATAAACATGCTATTCAAGATTAACTGTAAATTTTAGCATGTACTGTTAAAAATAAAACGAAATTTCATTTTAAGTTACATTTTCATATAAAATAGTAACTACATTTAAGTAAAGTGATGAAATCAATGCCAAACAAGAAACATATAATTACTTCTTTCTAAGCTATTAAGGAGCTATAAGTATTGAAGCTTGAAATATTTTAGAAATCATCCCGAATCGATAGTAATTCTTGTATAGATTAGCGAGTCAACACTAATTCTGACTAGTTCAATTAATTCTCAGAAGTTACAACGTTTCATCCCCGCTATTGACAATAATTCAGTATAATCCGTTCCAATTGTTTTTACGTAAAAGTCGGAAAATCATAATATAAAGAGAAATAAAATGTACAGGGTTATTGATTGAACTTTGGCCACCTTTCCTTCGGGAACTTTATTGTTTTAACATCGAGTTTAAAAATTAGAGAAAAATGTTAAATCTCAAAGTTGTAGATATTAACGTCTAGTTTAATTTAAGATAATAACAATTGATACAGGGTGTCTCCAATTCAAGTGACATGCCAAACAAACATTTTTAAATGGAATGTCGTATTTTTATTGCATATTCGAGCAACTGGCAAAATTCTCGGCCTATTCGATATAAATGTTCTATATTGATTTTCAACTGTTTTTCAGTGAATAATCAGTATTTGTTGAACTTTTGGCCACCCCGTTTTAACATATAATTTGAAATTTAGTAAAAATGTTAAATACAAAAGTTGTAGATATTTACGTCTAGTGTACTTTAAGATAGCAACAATTGATACAGGGTGTCTCCAATTCAAGTAACAGACCAAACCTACCTTTTTTTAAATGCAATGGCGTACTTTTTAATGCAAGTTCGAGCCACTCGTAAAATTCTAGGCCTATTCGACATGAATTTTGTCTGTTAATCTTCAACTGTTTGACTGTTGTCGAGCTTTGACCACCTTTGCATCTAATTTGAAATTTGGAGCAAAGTATTACACACGAAAGTTGTAGATATTAATATCTAATTTATATTGAGATAATAACAATTGCTACAGCGTGACTCAAATTCAAGTGGCGGAGCAAACTAAATTTTTTTAAAGGAATGCCCAACCAAAGGAATGGAATTTTAATGGAAGACCCCCTGTAACAATTAATACTATCTTAAACTAATCTTAAACTAGACCTTAATATCTAAAAAATTATAAATCTAAAAAAATATATAAAAAAAACTTTTGAATGCAACATTTTTCTTCAAAATATGGACGCCTTTACTATTAAAAGATCTTAACAGGCAAACTTTCAGTTCATTATCAATGCGCTTTTACCATTACACTAAAACATTGTTATATGACGAATTGCAGTTAATAACCGAGATTGTGCTTTAAAAAATAAATTTACCTCAATTTCCATTTCCTGGTTAAGTGACACTTCGATATAACGTTTTTCTTCTGGGGTAATCGAGGGATGGCTGGCAGGACTGTTATGACCGAACCAAATCCAAACCACCGACCATACAAATCCAAGACCTCCGAAAAGGTAAAATGACGCCGGCCATCCAAGATATGATGCCGAAATTATTCCAGTAATTGGGAAACAAACGATCGTCCCCAAACTCATACCTAAAGATAAAAATACCAAATTATTTTAGTTGTTGCTTTAATGCTATTAGGTACTTGCTAATATCAAGATTCACAAAATTTGTTTGGTGATCTCTGAGTTATTCACTGAATATTTCAACAAATTATCAAAACTACATGAACTTATAGCTTAGGTCTGTAAAAGTTTAAACATTCTCTGAAAGTCAATTGAAACTCGATGGGCGTAAATGAGTGTAAATGTAATGTAAAAATGATCAGCCTTACTTGAGTAGACTTTCGACTTGACTTTCTACTATTTTGATTTACTTTGCTGCTTCCTAAATTATATGTTCATGAAGGGCAGACACATGCATGGAAATGCAATTGGTACCTTCATTTTAGGAAAAAATCTGTGTTTACCTGAATAGACAAACGTTATGATCCTTGCCCTTTCATTCTTGGGCGCCCATCTTCCCAACATATTGTAGCAGGTGGGAAATATTCCTCCTTGACTTAGTCCTTGTAAAATTCTAAATGCCATCACTCCTTCAGAGCCAAAATAATGCGCTGCCATCGGTATAGCAATAGTGGCAAATGAATTGATGCCCATGGCTCCAAATAAAATCCATCGGGATCCGTAGTTTTTACTTAACTGACCAGCCAATAATTGAAAGACTAAATATCCCCAGTAGAACGAAGAAATTATTAAATTGGAATCCTTCCAATCGTATGTCTGAATTGAAATAAAAGAAATCGCGTTATTGCGGTATTTTAGCATTAAATATCCAGGTGGTTTTGAATAACTTGATGAAGGAATTTAAAATATATCGTTATTTTTGCGAGGTCTCATTTGCTTTAATGTCTAGGTTTATTCCACTATATGATAAATTGCTTACAGGAATGTTGTGGTTTTCAGAAGTTTGTTTAGTCATCGCCACAATAGAAAGGCTTAAACTTAGTCTGGTCATTAGCTCTACAGTAATTCCACAAAAGAGAAGTAATGCTTGAACGTGTCGGCAGCCGAAAATGGGACCTAAAATCAATCACAGAACATGTCACTTCAAGGAAATGGAAAATTTTAATTAAGTTAAAGAGTGGCAATGTCTTCCATGAAAAAATCGGTTCATTAATGGAAGTGTTACATTGGTTGTAACTATGTATGGCAGAAATATCCACCAAAAAGTAATAAACTTCAAGAACAGATTTTTGTCCGTTTCATAAATCTGAAAAACCTACCTTTGTCTATAGCTTCATCTTCAACTTCTTTCTTCAAATAATTATCCTTTGTTTCCACCTGTTTCGTCATGATTCGATTTTGAACAAATTCACTGGAAGCTAATACAGTTTAGTTATGGCACCTCCGACGGTACTCAGATATGGTTCCAATATGATATTCAATTTATTCAGTCATACATTCGGTTGCCTTCTATGCAGTTTACGCGATACCTGATAGGAATCATAATTACCATGTATATATAAAAATTTTCTCGCTACGTAATATGTGGAGTACCTATTGGAGAAATGCGAAAAAATAGTCACTATTTTAGTCAAATCAATTTTATCATAAGTAAAATATATCGCAAGTTTTTGAAGATAGTAAGTCGATGTTTTCAATCAATAAGATTCAATGAAGTGTTTAATCGTCGTTTATTAGATTAGCTGGAGTTGAGCCAAAATAATTGAAAACATAATTAAACAATTTACAAAGTTAATTTATACTTGAATCTCCTTGAGCAACCTAAAAACATTTAAGTGTTTTCTTTAGAACTTTTAATATTCAATTTAATTTTACATGGTAAATACATTTTTTTGTCTTCGTTATAGTCCAGCGCTACGCAATGTTTCTACAAATTTGATTATTTAACGGCATGTTAATATTTAAATAAATAATCTGAATATTTCCCTTCCATTGGAGAACGTATATTTATTTGCAATTATTTAAGTAATTATAAATTTTGTTTTTCTGTTGCAAATGTAGGTCATCTTCATCATTTGTTAGAAGTGATAAGCATACCTTAAAAAACACATCTCCTTCCGAGATTTGCTTAAGTCAAACCTGTATGAGCTTAACTAATTAATTCCAATTTGAAGTAATATATCATAAACTACATATTTGCATAAATGGCATATATTGCATGAATCAGTTAGTTAAAGAATAATCATTTTGCTGTCCAAATAGCTCGGAAACGAATTTTTTCGATAACAAATCAAAATCAGGTTACATTCAAAATCGGTTATCGCAATTAATATGCGGTAATTTAAAGTACGAAGTAGATAAATGTGTATCATCTGCACTGCAACGAAATAAACAGATGAAAAATCTAATCAATTATTGTTTCAAAGCAGCGGAAAAAATTGAGATTCAGCAATATCATCGTCTCCCGAATGCTTAAAAGAGATATTTAATATTCCGAATTGTTTGACAAAAAGCCCTACCCCAATCTTTATCATTCCAGGAAAGATTCATGGCTTCAGCTTCCAAATTAAAAGAATTTGCACCCGGTTAAGAAAATGTTATTCTAGTTACATTGTAGAGAATTATATCATTAATTTTTTTGTAAAAAAAATATTTTTTTATTTTGTTTGTCAGACTTTACTATAATCGTATGTCCTATTGTTTTAACGTAGTTGAACTTGTATCTCAAGTGGAAAAGTACCTAAGTGTTCTCGGAAATTTAGTCACCTCATTTCACATCCTTGGGGTATTTATTCAAATAGTTAGGTCTTGTTCTGATTTGCCAATTTAAATCAAATCATGCTTAAAGAAAGTGCAAATTTCGTCACACAGAACTTATAGAAAGAGATAAAATAGATAATTTTTCATATTTCTCATCTACGAGAGGAGACGAAAACGTCAGCTCCTCGATCTTTAGAACATGGTTTTGTTTATGTTTCAAATAATTTTTTGTTTTTTACACATGCTTCGATAATAATTAAATGATGTCAGACTCTCATTACATCTAATCTCTGATTTCTACCTACTTAAGAAAATAAAGAACTTATTAAGTGAAAATTAATTTACTTTTAAGGGCCTTTTCGGTTAGGCAATCAGGTATACGCGTCAAAGTTTTTAGTTACAGCAACTTTTATGACAGTTCATTTTTCTTAAGAACACCAGTAGTTGTCCTTAATATATTTATTTACTATTTTTTGGATAGACTTTAATTGAATTTGTGGTTTATATTTTGAAGTTTTTCATCATGTTGGACTAAGTGCCATAAGGGTATATGGAATTCGTCTTGAAAAGTGACAGCCCGTTTCAGCCCGTTTTCGAAGTCATTGATATAGCAAATGTTTCTCTAAGCGATGGATTAATTCAAGGCAAATGGTACTACTTGCTTTCTATGCATTTCTATTTACGTTTGTAATGCCGGGAAATAAATGCGCCGATATAATGTAGACAAATATTTGTCAATTTTCTTATATTCCATTTAATTACAATATTTCTCAGTCCTAAATATCCAAAAGTGAACATCCAATTGCAATGGTGCCTTAACCTCTTGCAGTCTAGCTTGAAGTCTAGCTGCTTTTTTAAAAGAGTTTTCGTCAAACAACGGTATCATATTTATCTGGAATGCAACAGGAATATTTCCTTTGAATCATAATTTGAACCATTTTTTAAAAATCAAGTGCTCTGGATTTTTCCTTTGTGTTAAGCAGATAGTTAAGTGGTCAAATCAATCATTTTGTGTGTTTATATTTATTATTAATACATCATCAACGGTCTATACAACATGTCAATTCATAGCTATTATTAAATATCAGTGCTGGTTGAGACAATTGTGGGACGGTCGTCATATTTAGATCTTTATGGCATCAGTCTACAATCTAAACTCAAATCCATACGCTTAAAAAATGTTAAAAATACATTTCAAAGTGCACAAAATAAGGACGAAACCTTCAAGACTAAAGTATGTGTCTATACCATCCTTTGGACTGTAAACATAGTCGTGATATTAAAATCCCTACTTTAGCCTTTTGGAATATATTAATTTCTTTTGTAATGTACTGTGTTAATTTCAGTTTATTACTTATTTAAGTACAGTTGCCAATTTAACTGCTTCTTGTCTCACGTTCGGCACTGGACTGTTTTTTTTTATTCTCCGACAGATCTTTCAGATCAGGTCCATCCCACGTTTGTCTTGTGGCTGATGCTAGGAAGTAAAATACCGATGCTCCTGTGATAAAAAATCCAGCTGTGATGATAAAAACTGTGCGCCATTGCTCGATGCTTTTCTAAAATCAAACAGTAAACAGTAAATTTTTTTTTCAAAAAAATGTTTGTTAAGTTTGCTAAAAATCTTAATTTTCTAGCAAGTCAATGCCAATATGCTATGCTACTGGCATTTACGCAGAAAATTTACGCAAAAGACAATTTCTTACCGTATCCGTAACAGCAAACTGTACAAATAATGGAGCTACTACTGAAGCTAATTGACCAATGGCGTTGAGGATACCAAAAATAACTCCACTAAATCTCGGTGACAAATCCAGGTGGTTTACATTGCACCCAATTTGAACAAACGATGTTAAAGTACTGGCAAAAGACAATATTATAACTGCCATATAGGCCTGGTCTTTAGACAGGAATGACATCCAGATAAGGCAGATTGCATTCCCATAGGATCCTTAAATTGTATCGTAATATGTAATCAATGTGGTTAAAATTGAATTTTAATTTCAATTTAAAGTTCAATTAGTCATGTAACAAGCTATTATGCGATAGACATTCGATGATAGGATTAAGTGATACTTACCAATTATTTGCGCAAATCTTCTGGTGTTTAAAGTAGATAAATATTGTTTTTGGATAAGCCAGTCTGATGCAGGGCCGGTGATCATTGAAGCTAGCAGAGAGACAGCGGTTGGAATTGCATTATTTATTGCATTCTGAAATTAATCTTATCTTTACAAAAAGTACATTTAACATGATAGTTTTGTTGTGTTTTAAGAAATCTTTCAAATAAGAAAGTGAAACCATTACAGCAAGTGACTTTTGTCTGCGATATTTTTTTATTTAATTTATTTAGTTTAAAAGTAATCTGTTTTTAATACTTATTTTCGTTCGATTGATATCAATTTAAATTACTAATTGGTTATTTGAGTTTTCTGATAATTCCCTAGTTCACCAACAGACGCAAGCATGATCGCAGGTAGTTTTTCGGACACTTTTGCATATTCTTACCCTTTTAACATCGAAACTCATAACTTTGGCTAAATAAGTTGGTATTTCCGTGGTCATAACGGCATATCCAAATAGATTTCCAACATATGCAATGAGTATAGCGTATAGTGGCACACAGGTGAAGATTTGCTTCCATGGTGTTGGTAATTGCTAGATAAAATAAAATATATTAAGCACTGGATATTAGACTCAATTGGAAATATGTTAGTATAAAACAAATATCAACACACTTTATATTAGTCAAATTATACTTAAACAGTCTTCAACTCACTACGTGATTCGTAGACTAAAATGTTTTAACCGGGGCCAACAACCAAATATGAAATCCGTTCACTAATAGAATAATTAATAAACATTTTATTGTCAAGTGAAGCACAAATACTGTTCAAAATTGTGATTCCGAAAAGTACAATACAAGCCACATACAAGGTTAATGTCAATGAAATCGATCCCAATTTAATATTGTAGAACTGCTATATTGTTTAACGTTATAATGGATTAAAGGAAACGTTAAATTCCAAGACTAAAAACAAGAAGTTATAGACATTTTCGGTAATTGCTACTTTTATGTTTCCCCACATTGTGATTCTTAAAACAAAAAAAATATTCTTTCAAATAATTTCTTTATTGCAATAATCAGGGTTCCATTTTTGATTTTTAGCATTTTCTTGCTTTGACTACATTCTGCATTAGTTATTTAATCAGTAACGCAATAATTCCAGGTTTTGCTGCGATATTAACATAGGTGAGCATACAGGGTGATTCAAAATTGGCGTCATTCCTTTGGAGGTGTTGTCTGGCGCTGTTATAGGAGCACACAAAAAATAGTAAAGAAATTAATTGTTATTAAAAACTGAGAAATTTCCAAAAAACTATAACAGAAATACGGCAGCAATGTTTTTTAAGGTAATCTGCCTAATTAACATTGCGCAAATACCTGTTGCTTCGTAATTATTTAAAACTCCGGGATCCATGGAATTATACAGACTGACAATAAGATAGACAAGGATCAACGGTAAATTCAACAAGATTTGTTCACTGCGCAACGTACTTTC